CGCTAGAAACGTTGCTCTAGCGTGGCGCTAGAAACGTTGCTCTAGCATGGCGCTAGAAACGTTGCTCTAGCATGGCGCTAGAAACGTTGCTCTAGCGTGGCGCTAGAAACGTTGCTCTAGCGTGGCGCTAGAAACGTTGCTCTAGCATGGCGCTAGAAACGTTGCTCTAGCGTGGCGCTAGAAACGTTGCTCTAGCGTGGCGCTAGAAACGTTGCTCTAGCGTCGTGTGAAGTTCGTCTGTAAAATCAACGTAAAAAATAAATAAATAGTAATAACATAAATTATAAAATAAAATATAACAAAAAATACTTATGGTGCGCAAAAATTAACGAGTTTGACGGAGAAAAACATGCGTGAGTTAAGGTTGAAACTTAAGCTGCTAAATGTCTAGAGTAGAGGATCTAGGGAGATCTAGGGGCGCTAGCGTGCATACTCTACGATCTAGAGTCCTATAAGAGTGGTGAACTTTACGTACGTACGTACGCACGAATTCTTTTATTAAACAGAAAGTTCATTTAATTTTAGCTGCTGAAAATTTCAAGATAATAATTAACATATTTTATACAAAAGTGTATTTTAATAAGGCATACCATTCAGCCAATAAAGTGTGCTACATACGTCATCTGTTGATATATGTATATTATGAATGAAAAAATGCTCAACAAATTATTGAATTATAAATAAATAAAATTTTATGTAAATACCAATAATCACTTTGTATAACTAAAAACATCTAATATTACTAGTCGAACGAATAAATATTCTTGGTATAACAAACGAAAGAGTAACTTATTTGAAATATGTATATAAAAACTTAGAATTTATTCAACAAATTATTGAAGTATAATTAAAAAAAGGTAATAGTAAATAACAGTAATAATTTCGTATAACTAAAAGTAAATTAAATGCTGGGATCAAACCCCGCGGACTTTTAGTGATTCTGGCTCGGAATTTTGGCCAACAGAAAACGGAAATCAATCAACGGAAACTCAAATAAACTGAGGAACTTGATCAAAAAAAATTTTATTTCTTGACTCTGCACGTTGTCTATCTTTATTACATTTTATGACCGAATTTTTCCCACTCACTGTTACATATTATCCACTCGTTCATTTACCCACTCTTCCTCCCACTCCACATCCATTCCTCCACTCATTCACTTATTACTCATTTACTAAAAATTATAATAAATGAAAAATACTGTTAAAAAATGAAAAATACTCATTTACTAAAATATTCCACCACTCTATCATCCCTCCCCACTCTACCACTCGACTCCCCCATAAGCTTCCCTCCCCTCCCAGAATTCCCCCTCGAAACTCCCATTTATCTCCGTCAAGGTTTCAATTCGTGGCTTCAAATAAGACCTTAGTTATATGCGCCTTAAAGGCCTTAGTTACACGCGCCTTAAAGGCCTTAGTTACACGCGCCTTTAAAGCGCGATCGTTAAGGCTCGTCTTAAGTCCACTCTAACTCATGTAAAGTTGACCACTCAGAAGGTCGGGACAGGTGCGCGGCGAGCGGCGGCACACACACAACCTCTCACCACCGCGTCAGACGCGACACTGAGACGGCGGCGGCGCGCCGCGTCAGGGGACTTGGCGGGGCGGGNGTCTGCCCTCGAATTATCCGCTGAAATATTTTCTGTCGTCTGACGCAGAAAATATTTATTCCAGCGGAGACTGATTTTTAATGAGGAGCGACGTCGCGAAACATATTGCTAGAGAAAAGTTTTCAGGGTTTATGCTTATAAATTACGGAGTAGAAAATTCATAGTTACGCATACGCACATTTATTCTTTAAATTCCGGATTCCTTTTCATTACTTACTATTACTATTAATAATAGTTTTATAATTAATAGTAGCCATAATAATAGCCATTAATAAATCAAATAAGAACTTACTGGTTCCTTACCATCACAATTGCCTTTAATTTAATTAAATTTTCAAGTAATTTACTTAAAATTAATATTTTCAAATAATAAAATGAGAACTTGCAGGTTCCAAACCATTACAATGCCATTAATTTAAATAAATAAATCCAATAATTTAACTATAATTAATTAAATCAAATAATAAAATGAAAACTTGCGGGTTATATACCATTACATTGTCTTTAATTTTCTTAAATTAATCAGTTGATTTAATTGAAATTCAATAAATCGAATAATAAAATAAGAACTTGCGGGTTTATTTATAATCAAATTAATTTATATTAATTTGATTAAATTAATCAATTAAATTTAATTTATTAATAAAATAAGACAGGGCCGACCTGTGCCGCGAGCTCGGCCACAAGCTCCTCCTCCTCTGTCATGGCGGGGGTGTGGGGGGCGCCGTGGGGGGCGGCGTCTCCCTCATCCCCCCGCCGGGGGTTGAACTCCCCCCCACCTGCCCCCCCGTCAAACACCTTCAGCACACACCGGTCCTGGATGTCCCTGGGGGAGTGGGGGGTTAGTGTGACGGGGATCTATTCCTAATCCCCATTAGGACCTTAAGATATTAAGATAACCTAAACCCAAAGGCATGCTGCAAGCACCGCCATTGTCGGCTGCCAGCGACATCGAGAAGTTAACTGAGCTTCCCGAGGCTCGAACCCGCGACTCAATCACCCCAATTCTCCCCACCCCCACCCCTGTCTCTTATACACATCTAGATGTGTATAAGAGACAGGTTACATATTATTTATACTATAGTTCCACTGGTACTATCAAGGAAATATCCCTCATTTGAAAACAGGTTCAATTTAAATAGCCGTTCNCATATAATGGGTACAGGGTCCATATAATGGGTACAGGGTCCATATAATGGGTACAGGGTCCATATAATGGGTACAGGGTCCATATAATGGGTACAGGGTCCATATATACATTAGCGGCTGATTTACCCGCTCCCCGAATCCTGGGCGGCACCTGGTGCAGAGTCTAGCCTGCATCTAAATTTTGTTAGTGAGGGTCCGAAAATTGTGTATATGGTGCACAGGATCGAATAATGGGGGCAGGGGACATATAAAGGGTATAGGATCCAAATAATGGCTACGTGGTACATATAACTGGCACAGAGCCCATATGATGGGTAAAATAAATTGATCAAACAAATAGAAAGTAAATATGAAGCAACAGTCGTTTTATTCACTCCTTCAGTTATTGTTACTGAGCTTTCTTCCTTCCACGAATGCACTGATTGAACTTCTTACTCAATAAGGGAATACATGAGATATAATAAAATCTGTGATTATTTAAAATAATTTTACCGAGACTCTGGAGTGATGAATAATTTTGAAAACAGTAGCGGAACGTACCGCACCCCGTGGATGTTAGCGGGCAACTGGCGACTCGCACAGCAGTGACGCTGGTTGTGCGACTAGTAGGTGCTTATAGGCGAATAGTTGCGTCGATTAGTCAACGCAACTAAAATTTGTGATTTTGTTAGTGATGAGTTGACACCATATCGAACCCGGTGGAAGTCTAGTAGCTACTTGAAACTATCGTCTGTCATGAAAAGATCCGGTCAAATGAAACGATTTTAGATCTATGAACAAGGCACGAAAAGGAAAAGAATCGGCGACAGGCCACATCAGGTCTACACTTCAGCGCCGAGATCAATACGTTATGTTATGATTGACATCTTCGGAGGCAAAATAGCTGGTGCATTGCACGCAGAGCAACTCAAGTTGTTTTGAAGCAGTCTAGTGTGCCCAGTAGCGGCTCGGCCTTCGTACTGAGCAGACCTGCGTCGCTCTCTTACTTGCCCACTGTAGCGCACAGCTGTGGAGCTCTCGCTTGCTTTCATACACCTCACTCGACAACTCCCAACGTCGCACTGACGCGGGCGCAGTGTACCGAAAACACTATACTCGTGTATAGGCTCTCAGCCTGCAAAACTGTAGTCGACGCAACTAATATACGCGACTAATAGCCCCGTGTATAAGCACCTACTGCAGTGCCACCAACCCTGGAGCTTGTAATACCTGAACTTATACGATCTCTCAAGCGTCAAGCAATTCAACTGCTTTCCCTCCAAACCAAACATGTTCCAAGTTGAAGGTTTGGTGGTTAGTTTTTAATAATGGTTGAATTTGAAGTATGAGACATTTTGACCCATTGGTGTTAGTATAGACCAATCATCTTGTAGAATACTTAAAATCCGATTTATAATGTAGATTCCTTAATAAATCATGCAATAGTGAAAACTTACATTCGCGCCGCTATGTTGTGGTAGAACGAAAAATTTCTAAAGAATAATCGACAACAACAAGGCAGGGAGACTTTCGTTTGCATGCAGTTTAGCTACGGATTTTAGGTAAGAACTAGCAACTAGCACTGACCCATGGGCCTCTCGAGGGTTTTACTGTGGGTTTTAACAATGGGCAGAGTCCCGCGCACTTTAATGTGGCGGCCACGACCTGTGGACGACGTCTCTGCCTCCGACATGACGCCTGCGTCCTCCTCGGCGACCGGCGCCCGACTGGTGGCTGCGTGAGGGTGCACGGCTATTAGGCCTACGCCATGTGGCTGGCGCTAGCACAGCCATGTGGCTGGCAAGGCAGGAGATAAGCCACTGACATTGGCTCAAACCAGACTGGGTTTCAAATTCTATGGGGATGTTATTGTAAATGCTGGATTGTTTTATTTGTTTGTTTGTTTGAGTTTCTGCTGGCATACGGCACACGAAAGAATAAAATTAAATGATAGTTGGCAACCTCAAAGCCATCTGATGACGTCACATTTGGGTAAGATTTATTTCCGGGGCCAAAATTCGGGGAAAAATTTTTTTCCAGGGTAACAAACGCTGGGGGAGGGGCATTAGGGGGTTGGGGGGGTTTGTTTGAACACGTTTTTATTTCGTCAAAGTTGAAACGTTCATCAAAGCAACATAAGGAAACAGCAACGTTTGTATGGCATGCGGTGAACGTTTTTTAGAGGATGAATGAGTGATGAACGTTTAGCATGCACACGTTGAACGTTTTCAGATTTAAAGCAAAATTGATTTGCAAGAATAACGTTTTAGTTCATGCAAGAACGTTTTAGCTCAGGGTGACAACGGCGAGACTCGTTAATTAAATGTTTTTATTTTGCCGCAAACGTTGCGGTGACGGATGTTTACGGTGGAAAGGTAATAAACGTTATTTTGTTGTTGCCCAGATGGTAATTTTACGGACGACACCAAAAATCGCTTACATACCGTGACGGTGATAGACACAGCGCGTGATTGGTGGAGAGAAGAAGTGACGTCATGAGCAAGATGCGCGTGATTGGTGGAGAGAAGNAAAAGCCATAGGCAGTAACACTGAACCTGTCTCTTATACACATCTAGATGTGTATAAGAGACAGGTGCAGAAGAGTGACGTCATGTGCGTGAGACGCACGTGATTGGTTCAGAGGAGAAGTGACGTCATGACGACATACCCACGTGATTGGCCGAGAGATGAACATGAAAAAAGAAAGAGAAGAAAAAGCGAAATTAGATAACAAGGAAAAAAGAAGATGACATTTTCAGTGAATGGAACCTGCGCATTCACGTCGAACATCGCGTTTACGCAGACCCGAATAATACTCATTCTTTTAAACATTATCCGTTATATAACGAGTTACTAATGCTGTCAAAACCTTTACCTTGCTGTCATTTTGCCCTTAACCCTCACATGTCCTGCCTTTAACCTTGCCTTTAACCCTGCCCTTAACCCTCACATGCCTTGCCCTTAACCCTTATCCCTCACATGTTCTGCCCTTAACTCTCACATGTTCTGCCCTTAACCCTCACATGTTCTGCCGTTAACCCTGCCCTTAGCCCTCACATGTTCTGCCCTTAACCCTCACATGTTCTGCCCTTAACCCTCACATGTTCTGCCGTTAACCCTGCCCTTAGCCCTCACAAGCCTTGCCCTTAACCCTTATCCCTCACATGTTCTGCCCTTAACCCTCACATGCCCTGCCTTCAACCCTATAATGCCTTGCCCTTAACCCTTTAATGCCTTGCCCTTAGCCTTGCTATTAACCCTCATTTTCAAATAAAATCGATTTTCATTTTCATTTTTTTTAAATTCCTACAAATTTTTTATTTCCGGCAAGGGGTTGTTGGGGAGATAAGAGGGGTTCTGGGTTGTGTGGAGGGGTTGGGGTAGTGTGGGGGGTCAGGGGTTGTGTGGGGGTTAAGATAACCACGTGAAGAAGCCAAAGATAATAAAACACCGAGAAGATAAAAAATTTATTGAAGAAAATCACATGTAAACGTTGGCTGAGTTTGTGCCGCGTTGGTGCTTTGAATTAACCCATACTCTTGCAGCAGGCAAGTGCCGTAGTAATAGCATTACGGACAATGCCTTATGGTAGGAATAGCATTAAGGGCACCGTATTGCGGTAGGAATAGCATTATATTCACCGTATTACCATAGGAATAGCATTATGGACACCGTTTTACGGTAGCAATAGCATTATGGGCGCCGTTTTACCGTAGGAATAGCATTATAGGCACAGCCTTGTGGTAGGAATATCATTATGGGCACTGATTTAATATGGGTTAAATTAAGGCACAAAATCAACCTACGTGTGACAGCTAAGGAGTATAATACAAGTACATAAAACTATGCATGAATTCAGTTTAAATATAAACACATAATAAATAATTATTGGGGACCTAAAACTGTCCCCCAACTGATGGGGGGCAAGGCGGCCCCCCTCAACCCCCAAAGGGGGCTGAGCTATCAGTTGTGTATATCAACCTAATCAAGTTATGCAGTTAATCACAACTGTCCAGTTCACAACTGTACAGTTCACAACTGTACAGTTCACAACTGTCCAGTTCACAACTGTACAGTTCACAACTGTCCAGTTCACAACTGTACAGTTCACAACTGTCCAGTTTAGTGGTGATCGCCTCACACACATAAAAACAACCAACGAATGCACATACACAATTAGATCGGATTTGAAAAACAGGTAGACGAAAATTTCAACCTTACCTTGTAATTATTTCGCAGCAAATAAGCCTTGAGGTTTTCTTCGGGTTCTACCTCTACAGCTGGACGCTGCGGTCGGGCGCGAGGCATTGGACGAGGTTGGTCAAAATCCAGGGGCAGGTAGGCTTCAAAAACTGGAATTTGGCGTCGGTATCTGGCTTGAACCGCTGGAGATTCGTGATTTAGTCTCTGGGAAGCCCAATGGTAGACGAGTTTTGCATTTTTCTCTTTGGGGTCAATAGTTTGCGGTTGTGGTTCCATTCCAGGTGGTACCCTCAGAGCAGGTTGAAGGAGTGGTCCGACATCAGGTTGGTCCATGAGGTGCTGCGCTCGGTATCTCTGGTACGCAGCGAGGTTTGCATTCCGGTACATTGAAGTCCCATGTTGATGGTAGGCGGCAGGGTGAAGTTGGTTCCCTTGGTTCATCTCATGATAGATGTTCAGCATCGATGAGCTCAGAATGGGTGGGGAGATTTGGTGTGTGTGAGTGACCGGTATGTAGAACGGCGGTAACTGCGGCAGAATTTGAGGGTACTGCGGATAGCCGTACGCATGTGCATGAGGGCACAATGGATAGGCAGCGGGGTGAGGTGGTACCATTCCATTATGGTATTGGGCGGCCATGTATCGTGCTTTCCAGTCGTCCTGGGCAGATAACCTACGTCCCAGAGGAGCTGCCTGGACAGCTAAACTAGCGGGATAACCATGAGAATAATTCGAGATGTAACTCGCGTTGGAAGCATTGGCAGCCAGAGGTCTGTGGTCAGGATGGTTACAGTGGTGCTGAGAAATAGACCCTTGTCGAGATGATGCTCTCGAAGTAGCCTGGGACGCAAAGTTGTCCTGAAGTGCAGCCACTTCTTTCGTCTCCATATTTTGTGCGAGTCGAATTTTGGGGGGAAACATCGCATATGTGTCTTTGCGTGCCTCATTCTCATTCAAGATATTCCCATCCTGCTGATTTTTATTGTCCCTCATTCGATCCTTACTTTGAGCATTATCAGCAAGCCTTGCAGGCTGTCCGCCATATTCTTCGTCAGACAGACTCTGGTAGATCGGGTTGGCAACCAACCGATCTTCTCGGATGAGGACTTCGTTGTTCAGCGGTTGATTCTTCACGGGTGGATTCGTTTGCTCGTATGACGAGTACTGTTGTACCGGCAATGAATCTTGTTTGCCCATTTTAGCTTCAAGCAACTTTAACTCGTTGGATTTAGCCTTCGACGATTTGCCTAATCGTGAGACTTTTGATTTAGCTTCATCAAAAGAATGCGCAGTCGTTTGAATTTTCTTTGTTTCTTCTTCTTTCTGTCGTTTTTTGGCTTCAGCGATCATCTTTTCGGTTTCTGGACGGTATTGACTCACGGGATACTCCCGAATATCGGTTCCTTCGAACGAAATACTTCTTGGTCGACTTTGACCGGAGGTCTGGCTAGACGAACTGTGTTTGCGACTAAGGGACTGGTGAGCAGAGTCAGAGCTGTCGAGACTGATGGATGAACGTAAAGCTGTTCGTTGATCAAGCTGGTCACCAAACGAGTCGAGGTCTGTCACGAGAAGTTTACGATTTCCCATCATTTGATTTCGTTGGAAATTCAGTTGTACCCCAGCTTCCTCACAAACTAGTTGTTGATGCTTGTTCATGTGGTCGAAGAGGATCGGTGCCATTTGAGACTCCTGAACTGCCTTGGCAGGTTTCCAAGACCTTCCGGAGCTGCGCATGAATTTTGGTTCACTAGCACTCCTTTCGACATGGTGGTGAGTCTTCACAACAGGAGGTTTTTCAACGCTCCTACTTTTGTGGAGGAATAGTTTATGGTCAGAGTCGGTGGAAATGGTTTCCCAAGTTTCATTGTGTCCTGTCTTATGACGATCAAACGTGTTGAACACGTCATCCTTCATGCAGATCTTCGGCAACACCGCATCGCTGCGAATCAACTCAGTCCTCATTTTGGTGGATGTTTTTCGTTGTACTTGCGAAACTACGCTCTCATTTCGATCGTTTTTAATGCTCTCTGAACTGGAGTCAATTTCTATCGATTTATTCCAGCGTGCTGGTCCATCAGACTGTGTTCGCTTAAGCACATTAATCGGACGACTTTGATCTGTCTCTACAGATTCGCCTTCCACCCTCGGAAATTCTGCAGGTTTAGATGCAGGGTTTGCATTTGTCAGCTTCTCCAAAGAAACGTCGTTATTTTTCAGAACAACACCTACGACTTTTGGGGTGAATCTTTCTTGCTTTGAGCTCAACTGATTACTGGAAACCGACTTGCGTCCTACAAGATTCGACTTGGATGACCCTGACTTTGGCTTGGTTTCGTTCTTTGTGTTTTGCTTGTAATTTGAAGGCTTAAAATCATCTGTTGCGTGTTCAAAAGTCTTCTTCTGGGCGTAGATTTCAGTAGGGGTCAAAGGCAGCACGTGACTTTGGCTTTCTAACGATTTTTTGTTGATTGTATTCACATTTCCCATAGACGTTGATTTGCGATTTAAATATTCAAAAGTTGTCTCTTGGCTGTTCTCGGTCTGCACACTTTGTCGCTTCAAGATTGAATTTGGACTCGCTAATACTTTAGTTTCATGACCAGGATATGAAATATGATCACGCACACCGTCAAGTGTGGTTGTTGTTGCCTTTATACTTGTAAAACTCTGAACAGATTCAAATTTCAGTTGATTTTTTGATCCAAATCTCCTAGTTAACGGGCCTAGAGAAAATTTCCGAAACGGACTACGTTTTTTACTATCCGGAGTTGACTTTGTATTCTGATCTGCTCGCAAGTGCTTCTCTAATTTCTTGTCTTGTGTGGTCTTTTTTTCGTGATTCGCCTTTGGTAGAGCAAGAGATTCTTTGGCTTGTATATCTACCTTCGTTTCTTCAATTGTTCGGTTATTTTTCTCTGGTTCGAAGACAGAAGAAGTATCGACTGAGTCGGGGGTTATATTGTGAGTCGGTACCACGTCTGCAGATTTTGGGGTCTTGGGGGTAGTCGAGTTTTGGGGTAGCAGGGGTTGTTGTGTATCCTCAGTCGGTCCATGTTGTTGCAAAGCTGAACTGCTGACTAACACTTGTTCTTCGCGTGGATCAAAGAAAGAGGTATCAGCAGCTTTGTGAATATTTTTAACATTTTCTTTCGTGGTAATTACCAAGAGTTTCGAACTTTCCTCTCTCTTGGAGAAAGAAGAAACTTCACTGGATGCCGTCAAGCTGATGGTAGTTTCTGTTGGTGAATTTTGCCTTGATGGAAAACTGGGAATATCACTTTTCTGTTTTTCTAAAAGTTGAATGTTACTTTCTTCTGTTTGTTGCGAGGTTTCTGGAAGTTGTAGATTGTCATGGTTTGGTGCCTTAGAGCCTGAAATTCGAAACCCAGAAGACATATCAGAATCATTCCCGTCTACCCCATTTTCATCTCCCTGTTCTTCCACTTCATCTACAAAACTCATAGATTCATAAAACGAACCCTGAATGCGAGATTTCTCAAAGAATTTTTCTTCAGTCAATGCCTCTGTTGATGACTTAATGACGGGCTTAAGAGAGGTATTCAACGTTTTATTACCTCCAGGTGCCGATATCTTAGCCCGTTGTTCTTCCGTTAGGACATTCAAGGCGGCCCTAGATTCTTCCAGGGATAAAGGGGCGGATATTTCAAGGCGTTTAGGTTTAGAACGGTTCAAAGAGAAAAACCTGCTCGCTAGAACAGCCATACCCAAACTGTTCTTTCGCTTGCGTCCAGGCACAGAATGCGTGACGTTCTCAGGGGAGAAACGAACAGTTTTGTCTATCAGATTATTCTGTTTGATGGCGTTCAGCATTGAGTGTTTAGGTTTTAAGGGTTCTTTCACGTTATCGTCAAAAGACCTTTCATCGTTGCAAATTCTACCGAAATTTCCGCCATTTTTTCCTGCAGTCTGTGGACTAAATTGACCATTGTCACCGGTACTAGGTGGGAGAGCATCATCCACGTGTGTCTGGTGGTTGCCTAACGTTGTTTTCTGGGCTCCAAAACCCGTCGCATGGAAGCCATCAGCTTTCACTGATGTATTCTGCTCATTGTTGCCATTTGCGGTTTTAGTTTTTAAAGAACTATTACTGTTGGGCGTGTCGGCATTTTTGACATCCACCTCTTTGGTGTTACCACCCGTACTGTCTTTGGCTGAATTATGACTTGCAGATCGAACCTCTTCTCCCACCTCGCGCGGGACGTCTGGCTTTAACCTAATCTCAGAGTAAATACTCTCTTCACTCTCATGTTTACTACCCGAGTCTTCCATGGTCATGTCGATACCTGACTCTACATGACTCATGCCATTATGGATCTCATGTCTAAGTGTATCAGGGCTTCCAGGTTTCATCCCGGCAGTTGGGGGATGACAGTGACCAATAATATTGGCTTGGTCACAGTCAGAATCGCGGCAAATGGTAAGACTGAATAAGTAGTCACCCTCCTCGGTAGTTCCCGACTCTACCAACCCAGTTGTGGTATTACCCAAGTTGTTCAGACTTTGGGGTCCTCTCGACGTTGGTGCTCTTATTGTAAAATTGCAGAGAACCGGATCAGAGGAGACTATTTCGCTCGCAATAGGCGAGATTGTGCAAGTTTCAATGTTTATTGTACCTCTTCCCGATGAATCTGTGCCTGTTTGTATGGTGGTTGTGCCAGTTAGTGGTGAATCTGTGCCTGTTTGTGTGGTGGTTGTGCCAGTTAGTGGTGAATCTGTGCCTGTTTGTGTGGTGGTTGTGCCAGTTAGTGATGAATATGTACCTGTTTGTGTGGTGGTTGTGCCAGTTAGTGGTGAATCTGTACCTGTTCGTGAGATGATTTGACCTGCTACCGACAATTCAGATTCTACAAGATTCCCTGTTGACGAGTGAGATTCAGAGTCACTGTTTGCTTGTGTCTTAACAGGAGTATTTCTCAACGATCTTTTCACAACAGTCGCGTAAATCGGCATCTGCAACAGTCCTGTTTGCGCAATGTTGACTTCATCTGTTAAGGGAACAGTCAAAACTTCTTGTTTTTCATCTTCTACTTTGGACTCATCATCCATCTCGCGATGGCACATCACCTTCCTGCATGACATCACACTCTGTAACTCCCGCTGACATCATTATTCTTTCACCACACACAGCGTATGATATATGTTCACAATCAAAATTTTGTTCGAACCTAATACACTTATTGCTTTTGAAGTGATTCACTTGATGCACGATATATCTTTTTTCGGTTAGCCCTGATCGTCGAAGGTGAAATGAAACGGAAATTAAAAATGATTTCACGATCGCTTATATGATGATTTAAAATAGGAATGAAACTGAGTTAAATTTTATGTAAATGAAAATAAAGCAAAATGATAACTACGAATGAAATAGGAGCATTTTTATAGAAAATTTTTTGAGGTTTTGCCGAAAATATTTTAAAACTGTCGCATTTTTCCACAAATATGAATAAAATATCAAATTTTTAAAAGTTGATATTAAAATGACGGACTTTTTTAAATTTTATAATAGAACTTGCTTATTTTAAATTTATGGACAATTTTGTGGTGTTAAACGGAATGATGTGAAGTCGATTCATTTTGAATAAAGATTGCATTCCAAACAATAGAGTTGCTCATTTTCCAAATTTATGAACAATTTTGGGTTTGTAAGCAGAAATGATATGAAGGCGATTCATTTTGAATTAAGATCACAAAAAAATAGAATTAGAACAATAAAGCAGTCTGCTTCTACTAGAGCATCTTAAGCGTTCTCTACAACTTTAGCATTGCTGATTTTTAAAACAGTTTTACATGTCAAATAATGAAAGTAATTAGTTCATTCAACAGTGACTCACTTAACACTGACTCACTTAACACTGACTCACTTAACACTGACTCACTCAACACTGACTCACTTAACACTGACTCACTCCAGACTGAGGCTCGTCCCACAGAGCGGTCGTCTTATCTGTCTCGTATCTCTGAGTATCGCAGCGATAACACCTATCGCTGCTAGCGCCGTGTAACGGGGATGTTACAGGGGTGTGGGGTGTAATGGGTGTGAAGTGTAACGGGGATGTTACAGGGGTGTGGGGTGTAATGGGTGTGAAGTGTAACGGGGATGTTACAGGGGTGTGGGGTGTAACCGGGGTGTAAAGGGGTGTGAAGTGTAAAAGGGGTGTAGCAGGGGTGTGGGGTGTAGCAGGATTGTGAAGTGTAACAGGGGTGTAATGGGGTGTGAAGTGTAAAAGGGGTGTAGCAGGGGTGTGGGGTGTAGCAGGATTGTGAAGTGTAACAGGGGTGTAATGGGGTGTGAAGTGTAAAAGGGGTGTAGCAGGGGTGTGGGGTGTAGCAGGATTGTGAAGTGTAACAGGGGTGTAATGGGGTGTGAAGTGTAAAAGGGGTGTAGCAGGGGTGTGGGGTGTAGCAGGATTGTGAAGTGTAACAGGGGTGTAATGGGGTGTGAAGTGTAAAAGGGGTGTAGCAGGGGTGTGGGGTGTAGCAGGATTGTGAAGTGTAACAGGGGTGTAATGGGGTGTGAAGTGTAAAAGGGGTGTAGCAGGGGTGTGGGGTGTAGCAGGATTGTGAAGTGTAACAGGGGTGTAATGGGGTGTGAAGTGTAAAAGGGGTGTAGCAGGGGTGTGGGGTGTAGCAGGATTGTGAAGTGTAACAGGGGTGTAATGGGGTGTGAAGTGTAAAAGGGGTGTAGCAGGGGTGTGGGGTGTNTTTATGTTCAGTTTAATGCAACGATGCCTTAGTCTCCGTTTAGTCTTCATTTTCTTTGTGATGTAGAAAACGAGAGAATTTGCCTGACCCAGCACCCCCAACTCCCGCGGGGAGGCCCAGCCAATCCCCACATCCCACATTGACTGCCATTAATGGTGATAATTTATATAATGGTGATATTTATTTATATACAAAATGATGGTAAGGGTATAGTAGAGAAATGGGTACAGGTGGTAAGGGTATAGTAGAGAAATGGGTACAGGTGATAAGGGTGTAGTAGAGAAATGGGTACAGGTGATAAGGGTATAGTAGAGAAATGGGTATAGGTGATAAGGGTATAGCAGAGAAATGGGTACAGGTGGCAAGGGTATAGTAGAGAAATGGGTACAGGTGATAAGGGTATAGTAGAGAAATGGGTATAGGTGATAAGGGTATAGCAGAGAAATGGGTACAGGTGGCAAGGGTATAGTAGAGAAATGGGTATAGGTGATAAGGGTATAGTAGAGAAATGGGTATAGGTGGTAAGGGTATAGTAGAGAAATGGGTACAGGAGATATGGGTATAGTAGAGAAATGGGTATAGTAGAGAAATGGGTATAGTAGAGAAATGGGTACAGGTGATAAGGGTATAGTGGAGAAATGGGTACAGGTGATAAGGGTATAGTGGAGAAATGGGTACAGGTGATAAGAGTATAGCAGAGAAATGGGTACAGGTGATAAGGGTATAGTAGAGAAATGGGTACAGGTGATAAGGGTATAGTGGAGAAATGGGTACAGGTGATAAGGGTATAGCAGAGAAATGGGTAAAGGTGATAAAGGTATAGTAGAGAAATGGGTACAGGTGGCAAGGGTATAGTAGAGAAATGGGTATAGGTGGCAAGGGTATAGTAGAGAAATGGGTACATGTGATAAGGGTATAGTAGAGAAATGGATACAGGTGATAAGGGTATAGTAGAGAAATGGGAACAGGTGATAAGGGTATAGCAGAGAAATGGGTACAGGTGATAAGGGTATAGTAGAGAAATGGGCACAGGTGATAAGGGTATAGTAGAGAAATGGTACAGGTGATAAGGGTATAGTAGAGAAATGGGAACAGGTGATAAGGGTATAGTAGAGAAATGGGTACAGGTGATAAGGGTATAGTAGAGAAATGGGTACAGGTGATAAGGGTATAGTAGAGAAATGGTAATCCCAACCTACCTGTCGCTCCATCCTGTAGGCAGCATCGAGTAGGGAGCCGAAAGGGTCGCTAGGTCTGAGAACGTTGCTCCCAGCAACGTTTTTGTTGGAAACGTTCACGGACGAAACGTTTCTGGGGGAACTAGCGTTATTTCTGTGGGCAACGTTCGTGAGACTGAGGGCGGTGCAACTAGAAACGTTTTTCAGTGATCCAGAAACGTTAGGCGTGCTGGCGCTGAGTGCAACGTTTCTTTCGGTGCCGACAACGTTTGTTTGTGACTTCACGACGTCTGGGATTATGGACTTGGGAACGTTTTTGATGACGTTTGAAACGTTTTTAACAACGTTCGAGACCACAGATACGGGGTTCTTGCTCGTGGAAGTCGCGGTCACTTTATCGAAATGTTGGAAGCTTGTGGCTTTACTCACGCCATCACAAGCTAGGCCTACTTTAGCTAGGCCTTCACTAGCAGCATTAGTGCCTGTAACGCTAGTGACGCATGAGCTAGTAACGCTAGTTACAAAATGGCGCTGGTTGGAGATGGCTAGCGAGCTAGTGTCTAGTTTAGTGAAGTCTAAATCGTCGGGGAAGAAATATCTGTTTTTTGCTGTTGATGATGGGTAGCTGAATGGCTGCCGTTTGAGGATAGGCCGCTGTTTCTGTTGCTGTTCTTGCTGCTGTTGCTGTTGCCGCAGTTTCGACTGGTCCAGGGACTTCTGTTTCTGGAACAACAGAGACCGTTTCTGCCCGCCTGGTGGAGGCTGCAACAGGGGAATCTGTTTCTTTAACTTCTGCTGTTGTTCCTGTTGAATCTTAAGCTGTTGTTGTTCCTGTTGAATCTTAAGCTGTTGTTGTTGCTGTTGAATCTTAAGCTGTTGTTGCTGCAACTGTTGCTGCTGTTGTTGATTTAGATGTTGTGGCTGGTGGTGATGGTGATGATGGTGCTTCTGTTGGTGGTGATGCTGTTTTTCCTGTTGAGATGAGTCGAACACTTTCAACTTCTGCGGAACATTTTTTGGTATAAGCCCTCTCTGTTGCTGCTGTTGCTGCTGCTGTTTAAGCAACTGCTCTTTCTGTTGATGTTGCGTCTGCAGCTGTTGTTTATGCAACAGTTCTTTCTGTTGCTGTTGCTGCTGTTCGAGCTGTCTAAATATGGGTGATGTGTTCGAATAATGAGACTGTTTGTTCTCCTGTTCAATGGTTAACAGATGTTGCTGCTGTTGTTGTTGCTGTTGTTTCCGTCTGAGTTCGAGTTGGAAAGATATGGGGTTGTTGATATTGCTGTTGGCAACAGATCTCAACAGTGGTTGAGTTGCACCACCTGTCTGTTGCTTCTGTTGTTGTAGCTGCAACAGTTGCTGTTGCCTTTTCAAGTTGATTAGATTCTCATGTCTCTCATGGATCTGTTGATGCTTGATGAGCTTCTGTTGGTTCTCCTGTTGATGATGATCCTGTTGAGTCTCCTTCAGAAGAAATTGCTGTTGAAGCGCCTGTTTCTGTTTGTGAGCGTCCAACTGTTGGTGCAACAGCTTCTGTTGCTGCAGGTGACGTTCATGAATATCAACAGATGCACAGGAGCCAACAGATGCTCCTGAAGAAACAGATGCAGCACCAGATGCAACAGAGGCAACAGACAACTGTTGGAACTGTTCACTACCTTGAGCGTGCAGTGACCGTTGGTGACGCAGTTTGTGCTTGTTGGTGGTCTGTTGATGCTGGTGGTGGTGATGGTGGTGGTGGTGAGGTTGGTGCAGGGGGCGGTGGTCCAGGGGGCACTGATTGTTGCGTTCGATGATCAAGTCTCGCCCCGTGTCGTAGCTCAGACCTGAGAAGTATTATATATTTATAGACCTCCCTATCAAAATTTGAAGTATGTGTGAGCTTCTGCGCAGGGTTCGCTACAGTCGGGTTAAATTCCCTAACAAAATTTGGGGTATGCGTGAGCTTCTGCGCAGGGTTCGCTACAGTCGGGTCAGAGTTATTCTTTGCCTGCTGGCCGAAGCATCATATATTTATAGACTTCTTTAACAAAATTTGGGGCATGCGTGAGCTTCAGCGCAGGGTTCGCTACAGTCGGGTTAAAGTTATTCTTTGCCTTCTTGCCACCCGATAGAAATCAGCTTTTGTTAAGAATCTATTTACCAACTTTATATTAGATTAGGCTAGGTGTATATTAGACCTGGCTAGGTATAAGTACCAGACTCTTCCCTAACAAAATTCGGGGACCGCCTAGGGTTCGGCCGAATAGTTGTTACATTCGGCGCAGAGTCATTCTGGGTCTGCTTGGCCATCCGATCGAAATCAGTTTCTGGACAGAATCTCACTTCCGGCTTTATAGTCGCCTGAGAGTATGACAAGAGTAGGCCGGGCCGAGTCATACCGAGCTAGCCAGCTGCCCAGATAGAGAAGCTGATTTACGTTCGGTCCGAGTCCTAGGCGGTTCCTAATTCAGGCTCGCCACCAACTAAAAATTTTGATAGGGGAGGCTGCCCTTCGAACCCTGAGCTGAAGTGGACATAGAGAAGCTGATTTACGTGCGGTCTGAGTCCGAGGCGGTTTCTAATTCAGGGTCGCCACAAACTCAAAATTTTGATGGGATCGTGGCTGTCTGACTTGGGATCAGAAAGGGGACCAGATATCGGAAGCTGATCTACGTAAACCCTGAGTCGTAGGCGGCACCTATTGCAGATTCGGACACGCACCTAAATTTTGTTAGGCGTATAATGGCTTTGGACATCATAAGTTTATAGGAGAATTTTATCCCAGTTTATCCCCACAGTTTAGCCCCAGTTTAATCCACATTTTAGCCCCAGTTTACCCGAGTTTACCCCCCCTTTACCCCCCTTTTTACCCCCCAGTTTTCCCCTGTCAACCCCTGTTTACCCCAGTTTACACTCCGTTTTACCCCCAGTTTACCTCCAGTTTACCCCCCGTTTACCCCCCGTTTACCCCAGTTTACCCACAGTTTACTCCCCGTATACCCTCAGTTCACCCCAGTTTTCCCCCCGTCTACCCTAAGTTTACCCCAGTTTACTCTACGTTTTACCCCCAGTTTACCCCAAGTTTACCCCTGTTTACCCACAGTTTACCCTCAGTTTACCCCCAGTTTACCCCCAGTTTAACCACAGTTTACCCTCAGTTTACCCTCAGATCACCCCAAGTTTACCCTCAGTTCACCCTCAGTTTACCATCTGTTTACCCCAGTTTATCCGCAGTTTACCCACAGTTTACCCTCAGTTGACCCTCAGTTTACCATCTGTTTACCCCCAGTTTACCCTCAGTTTACCCCCAATTTACCCTCAGTTTACCCTCAGTTTACCCTCAGTTTACCCTCAGTTTGTTCACAACTGTACAGTTCATGACTGTACAGTTCATAACTGTACAGTTCACAACTGTCCAGTTCACAACTGTACAGTTCACAACTGTACAGTTCACAACTGTACAGTTCACAACTGTACAGTTCATAACTGTACAGTTCACAACTGTACAGTTCACAACTGTACAGTTCACAACTGTCCAGTTATAATAAGTCAGAACAGTTGCGATAAGGCCAACTGCTAAGTCTCAGGCAGTTGTTTCTAATTGACTAAATGAAATTGAGATGAAATTTATAATCATTACCATGCGCCGCATAAGGCTGTATACATCATTAAACCATCACCGATGCTTTTCTCCAACCTCCAGGAAACCATCTTTCAATGAAACATTTTTTTCAGATTTATCAGTTAAATTGAAGAAAGATTTCAATTCATGACTTTATCAGAAAGAAAGTAAAGGTATTCTTCACGAATAGTTAATTTTAGTGACAGTTAAGTTTGTCTTTTGTGATAGACAATCTAGCCCATTACCCAAGTCGGTAGAATTAACCCACAAAGTGGTGATCGCCTCACACACATAAAAACAACCAACGAATGCACATACACAATTAGATCGGATTTGAAAAACAGGTATACACATAGACATGACAAAAGCATACCATCAACTGGGGTGACTTGAGCCACACCTACAACAGAAAGAAGTGGCAGCAAAACAAAATAATAATGTTGTCCAAAGTCAAAATTTGGCAAAAAAAATATTTTGCCAAAGTCAACCCAGTTGACAGTACGCTGATTGGTCCAGACTCGGGTTGGTGGTTGCCAGTTCTTAATGACATTTCAGTCAGCAGTTGCTGAGTGAGGGCTCATTTTTATTATGTTAGATATGGATACTTATCTCTTTTTAAAACACTTCTCATTAACTTCACTTCTTGTTTGTTAGTTTGTTTGTCTGTCTGCTACAAATCTTATAATCGATATTTAACACACTTCTACCTGTCCAATCGATCTGAAATTTGGCACACTTGCATAAAGTTGGAGACAATGCATGATTCAATTGACAGAATAAATAATTTTGAATTTTTTTTGTCAATTTTAAAACTAAAATTAAAAAATTAATTTTTTGACATTTTTTAATAAAATTATAAATTCATTGTACATGTGTAACATTGGAGACACAGGATTTTTTAGAAGTGTTGTCTTTAAAAAGTAATTTTTTAAATGCATATTATTATATTAAAAACATTCCATCTTTTATGTTAAGAACAACAATAATTTTTTTTACAATTCTTACAACAATCTCACTCTATTACCTAAACAATAAAAATTAACTATTCTGTCATTTCAAAGACTTCATTGATTACAAAAGTTAAGTTTTCACAAACATATTCATTCATGAAAAGTTTCTGACATTTCTGAAATAATAGCAAAATTTTCATTTCCATATATTATAGGGATTAATAAATTGCCTACCAAATCCATTTATTGTAATTTAATAGAGAATCAATGGACAACAATGGAATTGTTTTTTGAGTGATTGATTAATGTAAACAAATCAAAGGCATAATAATTATAAATACCTCCTGTAATGTTTACTTGTCTGGGTGCTGTTCCTTTGAATTGTGAATGATTTTGAAACAATATTATTAATATTTACAACTGATTATTAATTTCTGCATCTTATTTATAAAAATTATCAGAATTAGCTATCAAATTATGCATTTTTAGTAGTACTTTCATAGCAGTTTTTTGACTAAAGTTCTTGAAGCATCACTGCTATTAAATTCTAATAATGCCTAAATTTAAATGAAATCTTATATTTAATAATGACACATGCCCAAATTCTCAAAATCATTCCTTTCTGATTTATCAAAATAAAGTAAATCTTGCTATTAAAAAACAAACATTTTCTAAAAGACACGAGAGGTTCAAAAACTCACAGTGGGAGACAAAATTATTCAGAATTTGAGGTCAGTAAGACAATTTTGACAAAATTGAGCAAAAACATGGAAAAATTTAATCCGGACTTGTAAATTTTGAACAACTTTCCATCATTTAAAGCCTAGTGTGGATCAGATCTATTTATTGTTAATTGAACTTGACATTACTTAAATATAAACAGAGAGTGGGTGATTTTGTTTGATATTTAAAATTTTGGTGGTATTATTAAAATATTGGAACGTCTTGACAGTAGTCGACGTAATTTTTTTTAAAAAGATACTCATTGTAAAATTTGTTTATTTGAAGATGAACAACTAGTGAAGATATCAAGAATGTACAATTTTTGTTGGTATTATTGAATTGTGAGACTTTTTTGTTATTGCTGACATAATTTTTTATTTAAGAAGATATTAATTGTAAAAATTGTTCATTTTGTTATTAATAGGTATTAATAGTTCATTGACATTAATATTACTAATTACTAATTTATGTCTTCTATGTACTGCATTCTGTCTAATTATTGAGTACATAGAAAGGTTATAAATTTTTTTTGAATGGCACACATTAGGTGAGTCTTACGAAAGAAAATATATCAATAATTTTTTTTCCTGTACTAGGAATGGAAAAAGAAAATAAATCTATTATTTTGTTTCCTATACAAGGAATGGACATTATTTTTGGACACTTACCTCTTATGAGCTAAGTGACATAGCCATGGGAGGTGTAAAGTGCTAGGCCTTCAAATATATTATCTTATATAAATGTGAAAATATTTTACATATGTAGAACTACATACTGAAGCAATGCATGCAGACTGTAACCTAGGTAACCTGTGACCTAGGTAACCTGGGTAACCTGTGACCTAGGTAACCTGTGACCTAGGTAACCTGTGACCTAGGTAACCTGTGACCTAGGTAACCTGTGACCTAGGTAACCTGTGACCTAGGTAACCTGT